CCCTCTCATCAGTCGTTCATAATGTATTCTCCGAATGGGGAAGGGGTGAATATCCGTCGACCCCCGAAAGATAATTTGACCGGGGCCGAATTCACTAAAAGACTTGGTTGTTTCAGAACCCTTCGCGAGGAGCGGCTCGAACCAGGAGGGTCGAATTCTGGGATCCGCAATCGCCGTGACGCATGACACATCTGCATAGTCTGTGCATTGCATCGGCATCGGCGTCGGAACCCGGAGCGATTCTGTGTGCCATGGCGTTGCACTATGTTATTATCCATACATCTTCAGGTTGCCTCGTAGAACTCCGTGTACAGTGTTAGGTAGAGTTCCAATACCGGTATAGATCTCTATAGGAACTCTAGTATTAGAAGGTCTATGCCATGTGTGAAAATAATCGACTGGGATTGGATATGTCTCGCTCGGTTAAACCAATGAGGTTAAACACAATATAAAATATAAAATAAGTACGCATTCTGACTTTATTTAATTCGTATTTATCACAAATTGCATTATAATCTGGGGCGGATGCAGGATTTGGTGGTAGGGGATGCGTGAGAGTTCATACCACGTCAACCCTAGCGTGTTTGTGGCTGAGGTAAGACCATTTTGACAATATAATCTAGATACCCTGAAATTGCACTCTAATATCTTAAAAATCTTACCGGTAATTCTTATAAACAATAAACAATTGTTTTTCTTACTACGATTTAGTCTGCACCCCACCCCCCCCCATCCGCCCCAGATATGTATCAGAAAACACGTGTCTCCTTGATGAAGGATACATTATTCGGTCAATTAGAAACTTTTTCTGGTCAAAACAATTACTATATCTCATGTCAAATCTAGCCAGCCCAAAGGGTACATGTAAGTTTTCTATATAGACAGAGAAATAAAACCAATCTGAACTGTCTTACATATAATTACTGCTTGGGGTCGAAAAGCAATTCAATCTTAATTTCACTTTAAGAACAAGTACTTAAGAAGCCCAATATTGACTCTGTAGAGTACACGTGTCCCCAATATACGTTAGCGAACTTCATCATTGACTATAGAAAACTTATTTGAACTAATATAACCACTGATTTCTATTATATATGTGCAATAACCGAACATAGATAATACCTAGTTTCTACAGGTATTGGTTTAATAATCTGGCGACGGGAAGTAAGGTCGGAGACTATAATCAAAGCCTAGGGTCACCCCCTTTTCTCCGCCCAGACAATCGCACCTCTGGCTGATGGAAATTTTAGCTACAGGAGGAGAGTGGTGACTTGCATATTCCCCCGGGATGGAAGGTTGTGTTGGGAAGGTCAAGAGTAAAGTGTATAATCCAAACGTTGTAGGCCTAGAGTGAGTTGACTCGGATTTGAAGTTAATCTATCGACAATAGGCGCTCAACAATTAGTAAAAGAATGACTGTAGATCGAGTCGTCTGATTGGGACAACCGACAAATGAATACACTATATGGAATCAACAACCCCAGGCACACTACCTTGGTTCCCTATTAAAACTCAGTTGTGTTGTCAACTGCAAATATCGATAAGAAAAAAAGACATTCAATTCACAGCTTAAACCTAATTACAACTCAATCCTATAGCAAATATGATCTTGAAATTAAACCCTGGTCGACAGCAAGATTGATCGCGTGTTGATTTTATTGAAAAAGTACTTGGTACTTTAGGGTGCATCTGAATTATTCACATTAAAGCTCATATATGGCTCATATATGATCGGGCAAATATTTTTTATTCCATTTAATTTAATTGACCAATTTGCTCTTCCACTGTCAAACAACTCCTCGACTTATAATTGTTTGCTGTTCTAATGATTTTTCAAATAGGCCTATTCCAATATTAATCAGTCCCTTTTTGTGAATTTCTTATTGTATGTTCTTTTATCTACAATGAAATCTATGCACAAAATACCCCAAAAATACACACAACTCTTTAAGGATTCATCGTAATAAATCGTGCACTCTCCTCGTAAAGAATACTTTCTGTTTGGTCTATTTCCCGGTACTAACCCGGTCCAGCGGTCCACCGCCAGCGATTCAATCCGGCCGAACATTTTTGCCGATTTTCGATTTAGGATATGAGTGACTTTTCTAAAGAAAAAGACGACTTTCCCAATGGCAAATAAGCGTGACTTCTTGTTAGAGTTTTGTAATTTACAGAAAACTCTGAATTAGAAACATTGATTAGTCAATTTAGTTAATTAGCCTTTGAAGTGAAATTAGTAGTAGCCGTGCAGTCTGGCACTTTCAACAGAGTCTTGGTTTAGCTATAGCTGTATATATTTAATGGTTCAGGTCTAGAACAATTGACATGGTAGAGGGGCTTATGAAGGAACGAACGTTCATGTAGGAGCTGAGTTTAACTGAGGGGCGCTGGGGTAATTTTCAACCAGTGGAACGCCACTCGTCTGA